TCATTGCCTAACTCAAGATTTATGTGTTTTTCTAAGTACAGTTTAAACTTTTACATTGAGGTCTGTAATCTTGATGAAAGGATAATTCTTTCTCAATTGAATTGTCTTGGTACCCTTGTAGAAATTCAATTGAAATATTAGTTTATTTCTGGACTCTCAATTCTGTTTTATTGATCTAAATGTCTTTCCTTATGCACCATACACTGGCTTGATTACAGTAGCCTTATTAAGTTTTGAAATTGGGAAGTATGAATTCTTCAACTTTGTTCTTCTTTTTCAAAATTGTGTGGCTATTCTGAGTAGCTTGGATTTCCACATGAAATTTAGCATCACCTTATCATTTTATGCAAATAATCAATTAAGATTTGTTAAGGGTCTGTTCAAGCCTATCAGTCAACTTGGGAAGAGCCCCTTAGATTTGGTATTCTTAGTACTAAAGAAGTTCTGCCTATTTTATCCTTTGATACAAAAGTAATTTCCTTTACTTTTAATTTTCTATAATTAGATTTTAATTTTCTATAACTAGATTAAACATTAAACAATAATTCTTCATTCCTGTTGTATTAGTGTTAAAGTGTCTATGAAGAAATGTGTAGTAATTACTTTTTGTATTGTTAAAAATACAATCTCGTATAGGCTAATTACTACCTCAACAAAAATCTCTATGTACAGAGAAATTCTCATAAAAAGAAATGCCAGGAGATCTCTTTTAGAGCTATATATAAAAAAAAAAATAGCAAACTTTACATTGCGAAGAATTTCCATAAACCCTTAAAAATTCTTTTTTTTTTTTCTGATTAAATTTTACTTTGTATTTATAAGTATTTGCAAAAGTTCATGTATGGGGAAAAATTAGATATGAATAATAACTTTATGGAATGTGGATGAGGATTACAAAAGTAAACATTTAGATTTTTATAATGTTTTAGATTCCATTGGTCCCTAGAATAAGACACAGGCAGCTATTTGATAGCTTATGTGGTTTTGTTTAGTGAATGCCTAATCCAGCGGTTCTTGAGCTTGGCTACTATGCATTAGAATCTCTAGAGATTTTTTTTGAAAACTCAAATGTTCCTTACAGCACACAAGACCAATTAAGTCAGAATCCCTTAGGCTGGGACTTAGACATCAGAATTTTTAAAGTTCTCTGAGTGAACCTAATGTGTAGCCAGTATTAGAGCCACTGCTTTAGACATCCAAAAGTGCAGATGAGATCGAGCTCAGAAAGATGTAATTATCCCGAAATGGCAATTAAAGGTGTGCCATTTGAATTCTATGCCACTTTACTTATAATATCAACCACTGTAAAAAATACTATGGAATTATTGGGATTTATTGATTAGAATTTGCCTTTGTCTGAGAATCAATAATAAAAGATTCAATAATCATCAGAATTCCAAAATTTGGTACCAAGATAATTATGTATACCACCATATAGATAGGCATTTGCTTGAGGGGAAAAGTCTACTGCTAAAGAGTTAAGCTTGAAAGCCACCAGTGTATTAGAAGAAGCAAAGTGTTGAGAGTTTGGGGATCTGTGTTCTAGTGTTAACTCTGCTGTGTGACTTTGAACCAGGACATTTAAATTATACTTTATAAAAAGTAGTTAGTTGAGCCCTAGCTGGTTTGACTCAGTGAATAGAGCGTCAGCCTATGGACCGTCAAGGGGATGTACCTTGGTTATGGGCACAACCCCAGTAGGGGAGCATGCATGAGGCAGCTGATCGATGTTTCTCCCTCATCAATGTTTCTAACACTCTCTCCCTCTCCCTTCCTTTCTGTAAAATATCAATAAAAGATACATATATTTAAAAAGTAGTTAGGCCAAAGCCGGTTTGGGTCAGTGGATAGAGCATCAGCCTGTGGACTGAAAGGTCCCGGGTTTGATTCCAGTCAAGGGCATGTAGGGGTGTGTGCAGGAGGCAGCTGATTGTTGTTTCTCTCTCATCGATGTTTCTAACTCTCTACCCCTTTCCCTTTTTTTCTGTAAAAAAAACAATAAAATATATTTTAAAAAGAAAAAGTTGTTAGTTGAACTGCAGGTGACCGCCAGATTATTTATTCAACAAACTGGATTGCCTACTATGTGCCAGAGAAGGATGCAGTGATGAACAGAACATTGAGAAGTTTGCACAGATAGACAGACAGATATGCAGAATGTGTACATGCAGCTGTAGTGAAATGTTCAGGGAATTAAGGGAGCACAGAACTGTACTTTATCAAAGGCTCAGTATTGAGACAAATGCATTCATTCATCCTACCCTACTAACAAACCCATCTCTGAAATTTACCTCAAGTGCCAGGTGCTTATTTCTTAAACATCCTTACAGTGGAGGCATGGTAGTGTGACCCAGAGCTGGTCGGTAAGATTAGAAGAGAAGACAGTTTTTCTTATAGAAGTTGACAGTTGAGAAAGTGCCCTTCCTTCCTGTTGCATGAAGACACGGTACTTAGTGTTACAAAATCGTCTTGAGACTGGTGGGCTATGAACAAAGGTCTCCATGCTGGTTATAGCCAAAGAGAAAAATGAAAAGAGCCTGGATCTTCAATGTCAAGCTTGAGCTGCTGAACAGCCACATATTTCAGACTTATTAAATAAGATAAAAATACTTTAGATTAGAAATGCAGAATCTCAGAGCTCACATCAAACTCTGTACTTTAATGAGATCTTGAAAATCACCAGTTTAAACTACTTCTATTTGGGTATTCTGTTACATGCAGTTAAAAATAACCTTATATATTGTGGATTGGCCAAGTGATTTTTAAAAAATATATTTTATTGATTTTTTACAGAGGAAGGGAGAGAGATAGAAAGCCAGAAACAGCTGAAACTGGTTTGGCTTAGTGGATAGAGCATCAGCCTGCGGACTGAAGGGTCCGGGTTCGATTCCGGTCAAGGGCATATACCTTGGTTGCGGGCACATCTCCAGTAGGGGTGTGCAAGAGGCAGCTGATCAATGATTCCCTCTCATCGATGTTTCTAACTATCTATCCCTCTCTTTCTTTCTGTAAGAAATCAATAAAATATTTTTAAAAAAGAGAGAGAGAGAAAAAGAAAAAAAGAAAGCCAGAAACATCAATGAGAGAGAAACATCAACAAGCTGCCTCCTGCAAACCCCCCACCAGGGATGTGCCTGCAACCAATGTACATGCCCCTGACTGGAATCGAACCTGGGACTTTTCAGTCTGCAGGCCAACGCTCTATCCCCTGAGCCAAACGGGCTTCAGCCAAGTGATATTTTTTAGATAAGAAAATACTTGACCAGAAAGATTTCTAATTCAGATGTAGAAAGTTGCAAGAGACTTGTTATTCTCACTCTAACAACCAAAACAAGCTGTTTACGTTCGTGGTCGGCAAACTGCGGCTTGAGAGCCACATGCGACTTTTTTGCCCCTTGAGTGTGGCTCTTCCACAAAATACCACGGCCTGGGCGAGTCTATTTTGAAGAAGTGGCGTTAGAAGTTTAAGTTTAAAAAATTTGGCTCTCAAAAAAAATTTCAATCATTGTACTGTTGATGTTTGGCTCTGTTGACTAATGAGTTTGCAGACCACTGCTCTAGGTAATCATAGATTAAAAGATAATAAAAGGGTAATATGCTAATTAGACCAGACATCCTTTCTGACAAAGCCAAGGTGGCAGGGGGCCAAGCCCCTAGCTGCTCTACTGCTATCAGGCTGATAGGGGAACAGTTAGGAGCATCAGGCCGCAGGCAGAGGCAGTTAAGGGTGATCAGGCAGGCAGGGTAGCAATTAGGAAGCCCCAGATTGCAAGAAGGATGTTCGATTGCAGTTGGACATCCCCCAAGAGGTCTTGGAATGGAGAGGATGCAGGCCGGGCTGAGGGACTTTCCCCCCCACCCCCCACCCCCGCATCCCCATGCATGAATTCCGTGCACTGGGCCTCTAGTATATAAAAATAAAAAGCTATCGGAGATCCTGAAGACACAAATCTCCAGAAAGTGCCAAGCCCTTCATAAGAGAGGTGATCCAGTCTTGCTCTCACCTAACTGAAAAAGAGGAAGCTACCATAGAGAGGAGTTAAGGAGCAATCATCCTAACTTTTAACCAATGTTTCATGACCATGTAGGGCTGTTAGGATAGACTAGAATCCAGAGAAGCCTTGGACCAACGCTGTCCACTAGAACTTTCTGCAGTGGTGGAAATGTTCTATTCTGTGCCAACCTAGTGTGGCTCTCAAGCACTTGAAATGTGGCTTTTGTGCACCTGAAATGTGGCTTTTATGGCTGAGGAACTGAATTTTAGTTAGAATTAAATTTAAAAAGTCACCTGTTGCTAGTAGCTGCCACAGTGGACAGTGCATTCCTAGAGACAGGGTGAGACTGCATTACCCACCATTATTTGCTACCCTCGTAGTGCAATTAGAACCTGAATTTCTGGAATAATTGCTTCTGCCATCCCCAGAGGGATTGTAATGATGTCTTAAGAATAAGAAAATGAAATTTCTTTTAATCTTTTTAAAGTTTTATAGATTTTTTAAAAATATATTTTATTGATTTTTTACAGAGAGGGAGAGGGATAGAGAGTTAGAAACATTGATCAGCTGCCTCTTGCAACACCCCCCACTGGGGACGTGCCCGCAAACAAGGTACATGCCCTTGACCGGAATCGAACCTGGGACCCTTCAGTCCGTAGGCCAACGCTCTATCCACTGAGCCAAACCGGTTTTGGCAAAAGTTTTATAGATTTTTGTGTTTATCCCTTTATTCATTTATTTTTTGATTTAGTAATTGTAGAGTAACTCATAATGACTCCAGAAAGAGCTTATTTATATTTTCACAAATGGGAAAATTTCTCAAATTTTATCCCAACTTTTACGGTCACTAGAAACTTATAAATACATATTGAAGATGAAATGAAATTATTACATATCAGTCTTTATTTTAGCTTTAATTGCACATACTTTTAATAATTTTTGTTTTGAGTAAAATGGTAATGAGTTAATAGCAACAGTAAATTAACAAACTGCTTTATTTTACAGGGAAAATATTCATCCCTAAACAGAAACCTATCCAGACTTTTACAGAAGAAAAAATCTCTCTTGATCCAGAATTAGAAGAAGCTTTGACAAGTGCTTCTGATACAGAACTGTGTGACCTCGCAGGTACCTCCTGAACACATTGTGAATGAATGCGGAGGGGGAGGACCAGCCCACACCTCTGTTCATTATGCAGTTGCTTCCTTTGCCTGGCAGAATGCTATTGAATCAGTGACCACATATTTGGCTTTGTTTCTTATACTCTAAAGCTGACACAAAGAATGTTATTTTTTAAAATTCTCTCAATGGTGAAATTTTTATGTTAATGGAATTTGTTGTATTATTTGACATCTTTTCCCACGTTGCCCATTTTGAAAATCTTTATAAAAATGTTTCATCAGCTGGCATTCAGCCAGAAGCTGTCCCATCTGAGCTCTGAAAGAGTTGCCGGGGTCAACTACTGTCCCATTTTATCAAAGACCCCAAGGCGGGTAACGGGAAAGCAGGTGAGGCAGTCAGCCCTAAGCTATTCTCACACTTCCCCAACTTCTCTGAAGTGTGTATGGAACAGCCAAACCTCCCAGTTATTGTCATCATTGCTGGTTTCTTATAAAGACCAGAATCTCCTCCAGCTCCTCTCCCACACAGCCGTTTTCCCAAACAGAAAAAATAGGACACATGGGGAGGTCTTAGTCCCAAGTAACCCCAAGAACTGACATGTTTGAAAAGAGCGAGAAGATTCTGTAGGAAGGACCCAGGAAAGGACAGTCAGGGTGTTCCACAGGCAGGGCAGGTGGTTATTTCCGGGAGTGTGGGACTGGTGGGCTTGTAAATTCTTCAGAGTGGAGTGGACAGGGGGCACACTGGAGCCTCTGCCTTGTTTATGCAAAAGGGCATCGAAAATCAAAACCAAATTTCTCCTAAGTGTCATTCTTGGGGTATCTACTTGAATCTTAAATGTGAGAATTCAGCTATACTTTCAGTATTCTACTCTTGGCTAAAATGTGAATGAGAGTTAACAAATGTAAAATAGCGAAGGTTACATTGAAAACCTGCCATCTATCACATTATGTTGCTAGAAACCTTGTGAAAAAGATGAACAGCAAAGTAGATCGTGTCATTTTTTTTCTGAGCCACCAGATGGAGCTAATTGTATATTTGCATTTAAGGTTAAGCTAGCTCCAGTTGTGTCTGAATTCAGAGCTACGGGGAAAATAATAAGGGCATTGATGAGAAGGCACTGTGGGTGATTTTTAATCATGCTGTCTCCCCTCTTTGGGCTGCAAAATCTATAGTTAACTGAGTAGAAAAAATGTCCAGAGAATGTTAAAATCATTAATAGAAATTTGGGATTGTAAAATTTCTATGTTTAACACTGATGAAAATAAAACTAATTTTCTTTTTCTGTCTCTATAGCTATTCTTGGAATGCACAATTTGATAACGAATACACAGTTCTGTAATATAGTGGGAAGTAGTAATGGTGTCGACCAAGAAAATTTTTCAAGTAAGTATTTACAATTCTTTGTGAATTCCAGTTCTTTGTTAAATATATTTTTTCTCAATGTGTCAACTTCTGTGTTTACATACCAAATGTTTTGTATACGTACTAGAAACCTAAAATTCCAGTTAGATGGTTTTGACATATAAAACCATTGGAGAAGGAAGATTAAGTGTTTTATGCTTAAGTGTCATTGAATGTGAAAGGAACCACTCACCTCACAAGTAATAGTAATGCTAAACGATATAAATGCTAATCAAACTTGGCTTTTGTTGACATTCTTTTTTCGGTGTTACTGATTTTCAAGAAGTCTACAACAGTGTTTGGCAAACTACATTATAAAATCAGATTCAGGAGAAATCATAGGACTATTCAACCCCCAAACCTTTTAGTCTTTTTAATGAAAAGTATTAAATGGCCCAAAACAACGCTTTTTAAAAAGCTCATGTACAGGAGCCCTGGCCAGGTGGCTCAGTTCATTGGAGCATCGTCCCATATATCAAAAGGTCACAGGTTCGATTCCTGGTCAGGTTCGATTCCTGGTCAGGGCACATACTTAGGTTGTGGATTTGATCCCCTGTCAGGGCCTTTACAGGAGGCAACCAGTCAGTGTTTCTCACATGGATGTTTCTCTCAAATTAATTTTAAAAAACAAAACATATCCTCAGGTGAGGATTAAAAAATTCATGTCTGGGATGTTTTACAAGTTTCTCTGTCTCCTATGTTTCTGTAAACGTACTTATTTTCTCTAGGCTTGATCAGATTCAGGTGCAGTTTTTTGGGTCTTAGATTTGGAAAGAATGCTTCCTAGGTGGTGATTAAATCACATTAGGGAGCATATCAAGATGGTCATATCTGTGGGGGGAATGTGTTAAGGGTTATTAGAGAGTTCAAGCCTTCTGGATCCCCTTTCAACTTGCATAGTTGTATCCTGGCCATCTGTGGGTAGAGTATATATGGTGAAGGATTGGAGGTAGGGGTGAAGGAAGGAAGTAGAATTTGGAATTTCTGCCTCAGTAGTTCCTCTGTGTACTGTTACCCTCTCCGTCTCCCATTCCTTATTCCTACTTCACTTCCTAATAGAGAGTCCACCCCTTTCCCATCGTGTAGTATCCCCATGGGAAGAAGTATACTTCCTGTATACTTCCATCACCTTGTTGTTTTTATCACGGCTCTGTTTCTTTAAGTTTGTGATTCTTACTGCCTTTTCAGTAATTACTAGCGGATCAGAGAAATCATACAAGATGTTAAATTTGATTATATTTGAACATTATTTTAAACATTGCAGCAACAAAAAAAATGGGTTCATTGGTATATGTTATCAAATGTATTTTAGTGGTATTTTGTAATACACCAAGAGGCCATGAAAACAATCATTTTTGAAGGCTGATGTTTTATAAATAAAATGAATTATTTTTTTATATATTCAATAAAGTTCTGTTTGCGCACAAAGGATCGTTTAGAAATTGTGGGGAAGAAACTTTTAGATTAGTCCTAATGAGTGTGTGTGTGTGTGTGTGTGTGTGTGTGGTATGTGTTACCAAGTTAATATATGCATCCACTGTAATAGTATCAGCCACTGAGACCCTGGCTTTTCTCACTTGTTACTACAGATGTGGTAAAAGGTGAGAAGATGGTCCCAGTATTTGATGAGCCACCAAATCCAACCAACGTTGAAGAGAGTTTAAAGAGAATTAAAGAAAATGATGTTCGTCTTGTTGAAGTTAATTTGAATAATATAAAGGTAGGTGTGCCAAGCAAAGTAAGTTTTGAATTGCTGAGTCAGGTGGAGCTAGGGTGAGAGCTGGGCAAATTTGATATAGTGTAATTCTTTCTACTTAAAGGCGAAGTGTTTGCTCCTAATACTGTGGTAACATAGATTCCTCCATATTTTAAAAATTAAAATAATACAGTGTTTTTCTTACTTGCTTTTTAAGAGTATCACATAGAAATGTAAATCCTACTAGACTACCTTTCTCTGGCTTTCAAAGCACTACCTACTTTAAGAGCATTTAGTCTTTTGGGCTTTGTTTTTTTAATCAGGTTTCTTGAGGTTTAATTTATATAAAGTAACATTCTCTTTTTTCAGTGTAGTATTCTGTGAGTTTTGACAAACCCATACCGTTGTACAACCACTAGCACAGACAGATGTAGAGCAAAAGAGAAAACAGACAAATCGAACCCAGGGATGCTCCGAGGACTGTAAGAAGGTGTCTCCCCTTCTCCTCCCTCATTCTGCTTTTGGAGAAATGGAAATGATCCTAAAAGGTGAAGGTACTGAAGCTCTTGGAGAGACAGACCAGGGCTACTTTACCCGTTCTTAACCCCACCCAACCAGTTTCCCTCTCCCTCAGAGTCAAGCTTGTGTGCCCACAGCGGTAGGTAGCGGTACCTAACCGACTGACGGCTGTTTTAAAATCAGATCCTGTCCCCTTTCAACGAGGGCATGTGACAGGGGCAACTATCTTTTACTGGTTATAACATGGCCTTGGCTCTAGTCCTTGACAGTCACCGATCGGTTTTCCCTCTCATTCTGCCTTCTCCAGAATGTAGTGTAAACAGATCATATAGTATGTAGCCTGTAGAACCTGGTGTCTTTCAGTCAGAGTAATGCACTTGAGATTCATCCATGCTTTTGCTTGTGTCAGCGGTTTGTTCCTTTATATTGCCGAGCAGTGTTCTGATGTTGGGATATTGTGCAATTTGTTTATCCATTCATTAGTTGATAGACGTGAGTTGCTTCCAGTTTGGAATGATTATAAATAAAACCGCTGTTCACATTCACATGCAGTCATATGTTTTATGTGAACATATTTTCATTTCTCTTGAGTATTATATCTTGATTTATCTGAATTTGGGGTAGAGGGAACATCTGGAAATTATAAGAACCGAGGGAATAAGACCTCTGCACTCCTTTAATGGGTATTCCTTTTTGTGAATGGAGGAAAGAACAACGTGGGAAAAGCTAATGTTCCTACTTGATCATTAATTTTATTCATTCCTTAAAAATTGTCTTCTTGTGTCTCTGTAAATCAACAGTTATGATCTACAAATAAAATAGCTACAGGAAGAAATTGAAGTCTTGGGACTAAAGGGAAAATTAGTGCCTTCTAGAACTACATTTTCCCACGTTTCAAGTAGTGTAGGGTTAATCTCTCTTAATACTTTATAGTTTAAACTAAGGAACTAAGAACAGTATGTCACCTGCCTTAGAAATACTCAGGTGGGCTCCCACATCTTTCTCTTTGTAGAAATGGGTCCACTTTGGATACTCAGGTGTTGACTTTCTTTTAACATGAATTATTAAATGTAAAATCACTTTAACCTAAATGCTAGAGAAATGGTGATATATCCTCTGCTCTAAGTCAACGTTTGTGCAGATGTACCCTGATAGAGAAGTCATACAGATATGGAGGAAGCAGTTAATTGTTTTTATTTGTAGACTGTCGTTGTGTTTATATAATTCCTGAGAGCATTTTAATGAGAAATGGTAAATATTTACTTGATTACTGGACTGAATTGTAATGTTTTGCATTATTTTCTTTCAAGAATATTCCAATTCCAACCCTGAAAGATTTTGCGAAGGCTTTGGAAACCAACACACATGTGAAATCTTTAAGTCTTGCAGCCACGCGGAGCAATGACCCTGTTGCTTTTGTAAGTAACTTGCGTTTTTTTTTTTTTTTTTTTTTTTTTTTTTTTTTTTTTTTTATTTTACATATTTTATTGATTTTTTTTTTGCCCCCCTCCTTCCCTCCCATGTATCCCCTCCCTCCCCAGAGTTTTATGTCCATTGGTTGTACTTATATGCAGGTATACAAGTCCTTGGGTTGATTTATTGTCTCCCCCAGACCCTCCTCCCCTCCCCGTTGTAATTTGACAATCTGCTTGTTGCTTTACTGTCTCTATATCTATCTTTTGGTTCATCAGTTTATAATGATCTTTATTATCCACAAATGAGTGGGGTCATGTGGTGTTTCTCTTTCATTGATTGGCTTATTTCACTCAGCATGATGTTCTCCAATTCCATCCAGGTTGCTGCAAATGATGAGAATTCCTTCTTTTTTATGGCAGCATAGTATTCCATTGTGTAGATGTACCAAAGTTTTTGGATCCAATCATCAGCTGACGGGCACCTCGGCTGTTTCCAGATTCTGGCTATTGTAGATTGTGCTGCTATGAACATAGGGGTGCATATATCCTTTCTGATTGGTGTTTCTAGTTTCTTGGGATATATTCCAAGAAGTGGGATTACTGGGTCAAATGGGAGTTCCATTCTCAGTTTTTTGAGGAAACTCCACACTGTTCTCCACAGTGGTTGCACCAGTCTGCATTCCCACCAGCAGTGCACGAGGGTTCCTTTTTCTCCGCAACCTCGCCAACACTTGTCGTTTGTTGATTTGTTGATGTTGGCCATTCTGACAGGTGTGAGATGGTACCGCATTGTTGTTTTGATTTGCATCTCTCGGATAATTAGTGACTTTGAGCATGTTTTCATGTGCCTTTTGGCCTTCTTTCTGTCTTCTTTTGTAAATATTCTATTTAGGTCCATTGCCCATTTTTTAATTGGATCATTCATCTTCCTTTTATTTAGTTGTATCAGCTGTCTGTAGATGTTGGAGATTAAACCTTTATCCGTGGTATTATTTGCAAATATATTCTCCCATACCGTGGGCTTTCTTGTTGTTTTGTTGATGGTTTCTTTTGCTGTAAAAAAACTTTTTATTTTGATGTAGTCCCATTTGTTTATTTTCTCTTTAGCTTCCATTGCCCTAGGGGCAGTATCAGTGAAGAAGTTCTTTTGGCATACGTCTGAGATTTTGCTGCCTGCGGATGCTTCTAGTATTTTTATGGTTTCCCGTCTGATGTTTAAGTCCTGTATCCATTTTGAGTTTATTTTTGTGTATGGTGTAAGTTGGTGATCTAGTTTCATTCTTTTGCATGTGTCTACCCAATTTTCCCAACACCATTTATTGAAGAAACTGTCTTGACTCCATTGTATATTCGTGCCTCCTTTGTCAAATATTAATTGAGCATAGTGATTTGGGTTGATATCTGGGTTCTCGATTCTATTCCATTGATCTATATGTCTGTTCTTGTGCCAGTACCAGGCTGTTTTGAGAACAGTGGCTTTGTAATACAGTTTGAAGTCTGGTATTGAGATCCCTCCTACTTTACCCTTCTTTCTCAGGATTGCTGTGGCTATTCGGGGTCTTTTATTGTTCCAAATGAACTTTTGGAGAGTTCTTTCTAGGTCGGTGAAATATGCCGTTGGTATTTTAATGGGGAGTGCATTGAACCTATAGATTGCTTTAGGAAGTATGGACATTTTGATGATGTTGATTCTACCGATCCATGAACATGGTATATTCTTCCATCTCTTTACATCTTCCTCTATCTCTTTTTTCAGTGTCATGTAGTTTTCTGCATATAGGTCCTTTACTTCCTTAGTTAAATTTATTCCTAGGTACCTTAATTTTTTTGGTGCGATGGTAAATGGAATTGCTTTTTTAATCTCTATTTCTATAGTTTCGCTGTTGGTGTATAGAAATGCCGTGGATTTCTTGGCATTAATTTTGTATCCTGCTACATTGCCAAATTCATTTATTAAGTCAATTAGTTTTTTAATGGAGTCTTTTGGGTTTTTTATGTACAGTATCATGTCATCTGCAAATAAGGATAACTTTACTTCTTCTTTTCCAATTTGGATGCCTTTTATTTCCTCCTCTTGTCTAATTGCAATGGCTAGTACTTCCAGTACTATGTCAAACAGGAGTGGCGAGAGTGGGCATCCCTGTCTTGTTCCTGTTCTTAGAGGGAATGGTTTTAGTTTTTGCCCATTGAGTATAATGTTGGCTGTGGGTTTATCATATATAGCTTTTATTATGTTGAGGTATGATCCTTGTACTCCCACCTTGTTAAGAGTTTTTATCAGGAAAGGGTGTTGGATTTTATCAAATGCTTTTTCTGCATCAATTGATATGACTATATGATTTTTATCTTTCAGTTTGTTTATGTGATGTATCACGTTTATTGATTTGCGGATATTGTACCATCCTTGCATTCCTGGAATAAATCCTACTTGGTCATGGTGTATGATCTTTGTGATGTTCATCTGGAGTCTATTTGCTAGAATTTTGTTGAGGATTTTGGCATCTATGTTCATGAGGGATATTGGCCTGTAATTCTCTTTCATTGAGTTGTCTTTATCTGGTTTTGGTATTAGGGTGATGCTGGCTTCATAGAAGGAGTTTGGAAGTGTTCCTTCCTCTTGGATTTTTTGGAATAGTCTGAGGAGGAAAGGTTTTAGTTCTTCCTTGAATGTTTGGTAAAACTCTCCTGTGAAGCCATCAGGCCCTGGGCTTTTGTTTGCTGGAAGCTTTTTGATGACTGTTTCAATTTCTTCCCACGTCACTGGTCTATTAAGATTTTTAGATTCTTCCTGATTGAGTTTTGGAAGGTTGTATTTTTCTAGGAATATGTCCATTTCGTCCAGGTTGTTCAGTTTGTTGGAATAGAGTTGTTCGTAGTATTTTGTAACAATCTGTTGTATTTCGGTGGGGTCGGTTGTTATTTCACCTCTTTCATTTCTGATTTTGTTTATTTGGGTCCTCTCTCTTTGTTTCTTGGTTAGCCTGGCTAGAGGTTCATCTATCTTGTTTATTCTTTCAAAAAACCAGCTCTTGGTTTTGTTGATCTTATGTATTGTTTTTTTGGTCTCTATGTCGTTTATCTGTGCTCTGATTTTTGTTATTTCCTTCCTTCTGCTTACACTGGGCTTTTCTTGTTGCTCCTTTTCTAATTCTTTGAGTTGTAGAGTTAGATCATCTGTTACCCTTTTTTCTAGTTTTTTGCAATAGGCTTGTAAGGATATGAACTTCCCTCTCAAAACTGCTTTTGCTGTGTCCCATAGATTTTGGATTGTTGTGTTTTCATTGTCATTTGTTGCCAGGATGTTTTTAATTTCTTCCTTGATTTCTCTGGTAACCCAGTCCTTGTTTAATAGCATGCTGTTTAATCTCCATGTGTTTGATTTCTTTGGATTATTTTTATTGTAGTTAATTTCCAGTTTTATGCCATTATGGTCTGAGAAGATACTTGATATGATTTCTATCTTCTTAAATTTGAAGAGACTTTGCCTATGTCCCAAAATGTGGTCTATCTTTGAGAATGTCCCATGTGCACTTGAGAAGAATGTATATTCTGCGGCTTTGGGGTGGAGTGTTCTGAAGATGTCAATTAATTCCATCTGGTCTAGTGAGTCATTTAGGGTTGATATTTCTTTGCTGATTTTTTGTTTAGATGATTTGTCAAAGGGTGACAGAGGGGTATTAAAATCTCCTACTATGATTGTATTGCTATGAATCTCTCCCTTAATGTCCTCCAGCAGTTTTTTTATGTATTTGGTTGCTCCTGTATTGGGTGCATATATATTTACCAGGGTAATTTCTTCTTGTTGGATTGTTCCCTTTAGAATTATGAAGTGGCCTTCATTATCTCTTATTATGTCCTTCAATCTGAGATCTAATTTGTCAGATATAAGTATTGCTACCCCAGCTTTTTTTTCATTTCCATTTGCCTGGAAAACTTTTTTCCATCCCTTCACCCTCAGTCTGTGTGCATCTTTTTTTCTGAGGTGGGTTTCTTGTAGACAACAGATGTATGGGTCTTGTTTTCTTATCCAATCTGTTACCCTATGTCTTTTTATTGGAGCATTTAAACCATTTACATTTAAAGTTTTTAATGATAGGTACTCATTTGATGCCATTTTTAATCTATACCCCTGTGTTCCTTCTTCACTTAATATTTCTTTATTTTTACAGTAGACCCCTTAGCATTTCTTGCATTGCTGGTTTGGTGGAGATAAATTCCTTCAGTCTTTTTTTGTCTGTGAAGCTCCTGATTTCCCCTTCAATTTTGATTGATAGCCTTGCTGGGTACAGTATTCTTGGATTCAGACCCTTTCTTTGCATGACTTTGTATATTTCATCCCATTCCCTTCTGGCCTGATACGTTTCCGTTGAGAAATCAGTTGCTAGTCTGATGGGGGTTCCTTTGTATGTAACTTTCTGTCTCTCTCTGGCTGCTTTTAAGATTCTTACTTTGTCGTTGTTGTTTGCCAATTTAATTATAATATGCCTTGGAGTCTGTTTTCTGGGATTCATTTTGCTTGGGACTCTGCGAGCATCTTGGATTTGTGTGGGTTTTTTCTTCTCTATTTCAGGAAAGTTTTCTGTCATTATTTCTTGAAATACTTTTTCCATGTCTACCTCAGTTTCCTTTCCTTCTGGAACCCCTATTATTCGAATATTATTTTGTTTTGTATTGTCCCAAAGCTCCCGTAGGCTCTCCTCCTGCTTTTTAATCTTTTTTTCTAGAAGTTGCTCTACTTGGGTATATTTTTCCATCTTATCTTCTAGCTCACTGATGCGGTCCTCTGCTTCATCTAGTCTACTCTTGATGCTTTCTATTGAGTTCTTCATGGTAGCGATGTCATTTTTCATTTCCTCTTGGTTCTTCTTCAATTCCTCGTGGTTCTTCCTCATTTCTTCTTGGTTATTGTCAAATTTCTCTTCCATTCTTTTTAGCCATCCTATGATCATTATTCTGAATTCTTGCTCTGTTAGGCTGGTTGCCTCTGACTCTACTTCCTTTTC